CTACCATTAAACATTTCTGTTTAGTAAACTCAGCACAACTTCCAAATGCACTTCTTCTTTCATGTTAATCTCCACCTGGTCTTTTTCTATTCATCATTTATTTCTTTGAGTTCTCCAGTATCTATTTCGGAAACGTCTTCTGATCCTACATTTAGTATTTCCCTTTTTTGGTATTCATTTGTACAGATGTTTATAGAAATCTTGAACATTTATCATTTCATTTCGGTTGATAATTATAATATTATCTTTGTTTTTCATACTGGTCACTTTTGGTCTTCCTTTCAAGTTTCAATAGAACTTTCATACTTTTGATACTAGTGAGATGAAGACAGAGTCTCCATCTAATTGGGCCGTTACCTAATTAATTTCATACTTTTGTTACCTTTGATTGTGTTATAATCTCTCACATCTTTTCGGATACCTATTCCTGTTGATTTATTATTGCGATCCAGTTCTCTTATCAATTTTTCGTATGTGACCCGAACTTGCTGTCCATCTATCTGCAGCAAATTACTATTGCAACTTGGATATTCGAGATGTTATAGAAAAGTTCGTCCAGGTATTTCTAACGTATATTTTCTTGATCTCCATACCATTAAAAAAGTAGAAGGTGATACATAAATTTTTCCGAATGGTTCTTGGCAATGACATCAAAACACAGATAGACCGAACAATAAACAAAATTTTCGTATGACAACATCTCTCTGTCTCTTTTGGGTCTTTGTGCTATCCCCACCACTGAGAATGCCAAATTTTGTCTTGAAACCCTAAATAATATATTTTTATCCTTTTCTAATTAACGTTTTCAATTTTACTTCTGAACTCAATTTGGCAACAGCAGATTGTAGCAAAACACCGCCCAGAAGCGGCTTGTTGAATGGCAGGCAGGTGTTTGTTGGAGTAGCTAGCTATCTTTATCGCAAACAGGGATTATTTATTAGCGTTAAATAAGAAACGACCGATACGATATTAGTACTCCCAGAATAAAGGGCTCGTATCGAATATTTTCAGTTTATTTGTCAATTTGTTATTTTATTTATTCATCCAATTAAATTTCGAGATATATTCACGTGTGGGCGGAGTTTTTTACACCATTTTGAGCAATGATGTCTCCCTACCCCGACCCCGCGAGCAACTCACCTCCCCTGGCCCATGGGTGGTCTTGTCAACACAACAAATAACAGTTTATGAATGGGATGATCCGTCTATCTGTGTTTTGATGTCATTGGTTCTTGGCTTCGACTAGTTCATATCAAATATATATCTATCCGGTCCTGTGATATCAAGGAATCCAACCCCTTAACGAACGATAAAAACAGTTAAAGCCGTTTAATTTAAAGCAATTTAGAGGGTTGGGAAATTAAAGTGTCATTTTTTCTGTCATTAAAAGACGTGGCTTTAATTAAGGCACCTATAAGGCCAGATTATAACGATCGACTAATTTATTCAGCTGCGGCATTAAGGGGCAGCAAACTAAGTTATAAAGGGGACATTTTGCAGAAAAAAAAAATACAGTGGAGTTTGGATATAGCAATCCAGATTCCCATAAAAATTTCCCACAATACCAATGATGTAATTTTTTACCGTTTATACCTTGGATATAGTGAACCAATTTTGATGCACTTTTCGAGTTCACTATATCCAGACTTCACTGTAAATTAAATCTAAAAATTTAGAAGACAAAATTATTATTTAATTTTCACTTTGCTGCACATCAGCCAATATAGATACGAACACATCCACCACATATGAAATTCCATCCTTTCCGTTTATCTCAACATACACACACAAACACGGTATGAAATCTATACTGGTTCGTTGAAAACATCCTACCTGCAACCAGTTATCAGCGACCAACACTCGCATATTGACCGATAAAAGCCTAATTTATTGTAAAAGATAAAAAAAATCCCCGGGGTCCGTTTGTTTATAATCTGCCAGAGGCATTTTTTATCTCCCCCCCTATTCTTTTTTCACCTCTCGGGTCAAGGTTGGCAGCTAAGTGCTTATCTGCTGTGTCCTCCTTCTATTCGACCAGTAAATCAAACCGATATATCCAGATAGGCGAGTAGCACAGCAGAGCCTGCCTGCCTGGACCCTGTTTTTGGATTTTGGCCCACGCTCAAAGCGATTATTTTAATACAGGTATATAAATGTATAGAGCAAAAGCTCCCCCCACGTGATTTATAGCGGCTTTTTTTCTCGGATAAACAAGAGGTCGGGAATTATTTCCAGGGCCACTATTCATGCAAATAATATTTTCGATAGGAATAGAAACAGTGTATGGATGATTTATTGTCGAGGATCTTTTTGATCTCCTTAATATATAGGTATCATTAAATAAATTTCGTTGTGGTTTTTTCCTGCCTCCACAAAAAAATGATAATAATTATCATAGATCACCGAAACTTCACAAAAGGGATTCAGCGGACTTCGAAAAAGTTAATTAAACTTAATTAAAAAGAAGTGAGGCTTGAGATTTAGGTACCAGCAGAGGATGCAGCCCAAATTAATTGCCATTGTGGAATTGAGCCACTTTCGGGTCGAGTTATGGATGGGAATATTTCCAGTCGTTTACCGTTACTCGTAATTGTGGTTCGTTTCTTGAAATTAAAAAAAAAAAAAAAACATTCAATTAAACATTATCACCGTATTTTTCCGAAAATAGATAAGAAATATTGAAATTTTTGAAGGAAAAGGCAAATGTTTTCTTTCACCTATAGTCCATTTGAAAAAGAGAGAGAACGATAAATCCTAGTTGAGTATGCAAAATCTGTACAAGGTGGTCCTGATAATCTTTGGAATTTTTTAACAAGTTTAAAATACCTACCTTTATTGGTTTTCTTTATTTGACCAGTCTAGGGCTCGTTAAAAGTCGGAATACAATAAAAATTCTTCAACATATTGTATCTTACTGTGTGTGTTGCCATATTTCAAAAATTTAGGGTTTTAGTGATGTTAGAAAGAGGGACTTTCGTTGAAAAAAATTAAGGTACATACGGCATTATCGGCATCTTAGAAATGGTAAAATTGGCAACATTGTAAATACCACCATTGAATTGGGCATTCTCAAAAACCTCTAGCTTATTGTACAGCGTGGTCATTTTATCATGATAACATTTTGAACTGTCATAATTTCTTTATTTTCCATGTTATCTGAAAAAATAAAAAAGGCGTCAAATTTAAATAATGGTAGGGTCATGCGGTGAGGCGATTTCGTAGGTAGTGGAAGTCACCATCTTCACAAAGACATAGCATACGACCATCGCTTCTTGGTGCAAATTTGGATGTATAGGCTTGTTTAGTGCTACTCAATGTGTGAGTTTCCACTAACACCTTATCACCACACTGATATTCGGGAGCCTTTCGTAGAGGCATATTTCTTTGAATGGTCCTGTTGGGTTTCATGATAATCACGCGCTTCACCAAGCGTTGACCCTAAAGTTTGGAGATAGGGTGTAATTTGGCACACAAAATTCTCATTATCTACTATAGCTCGTAGATCTCGGTTAACATTATCGGGCGTTCTAAGTGCTCGGTCAAAAGTTAAGTAAGCAACATTATAACCAGTTGCTTGGGAACGGACACTGCTCATTGTAAAACGGATTGCGGGTAATTTCTTTTCCCATGAAGTGTGACTATCTTCAAATAGAATAGCAAACTGTGTTTTCTTTCTTACGCTCCACCGGATTAGCTTCTGGATGGTATACTGGAGTTAATGATTGCTGGAAACCAAGGTATTGGGTAACCTGCTGCATGACGGAACTTACAAACTGTACACCATTGTCACTGATGACCAAAAATGACCTCGTCCAAAAGGTAACGTGCACATGCTTCAGCTGAAGCGCCATAGATAATATCTGTGGTACTTTGGACTTTGGGACGACTAGTTGGGCCTCTTCTTTTTCTAGTTCAGGAACATGATGATAAAGGATACCATTAGTCATTAGGTATCCACGTTCGGTCCACATCTTAATAGTACTAGCGGTTAGTCTGAAAAAAGGTCGATATTTGGCAAATTTGTCTAAAAGCACCAAATTTAACAGGGACGTTTTTTAGATCATTTTAAGCGATTTGGCCCGCAGGGCCAGCCTAATTTTTGACTGTGACTCAAAATGGCGGACCATAAAACGACAATACTTATTTACCAACGGTTTTAAACGTTCAACATGTCGTTTTTAACAAATTTTGGGACGCAGATTTCATTAAAAATACTAGTTTTCACATTATCATGCAAGTTCATATGAAAAAGCTATGCAGGGTTGTCAAAAAACTATGCTATTAGAAAAAATATTTTAAAATGCGTATGAAATTGTTTTTTTGTTAATCTTATGTTTCGCTGTTTCAAATTCACGGTGAAACTACTGACATACTTACACATCAATTTATTAGTCATATACAGGGTGATTATGAAATAACGTAGTTAAAATTTGAGGGTGCATAATAATTATATGTTACGGGTGAAGCCCGAATACCTAGATAATGTTATGTTTATTCGGTTAGGCTTGTTTAGGTATGTTTATGTTTAAAACACAAATGAACAGACCCAAGCAAACCTGAACAAACCTGGGTAATTCTATATTACCCAATATTAGGGTTTTACCCGTGACATAATATGTTAGACTTATAACTTTTTCTCTATAACAACAATTCCAAAATATACAAAGAGGATCTCGCTAAAAAATATTAGCACACCCCAACATCATTCGCCTTCTCGGCGCCCCCCACTCTAGCGCATAAATTCCAAACCAAGCTCTGTGCATTCTGCGTCTGCGTCAGTCGTAAGTCGGAGGTGGTGTAGTACAGGTATGTAACGCGTTTTCAAAGCGAAAATTTCGTCATTTTCCAGTTGAAAAAAAAAATAGTGCCAGAATTGGGAGGAGGAGGCAGACGGGTGAATTTTGCTACATGTATCAGACATGGCAAAAAGGTCATAGTTCGAGCAGTCGATACGGATGTTGTGGTATTATGTATTTCATTCACATATCAGCTTCAGGCTTATGGGTTTAGAAGAACTGTGGATTTTATTTGGGTCTAGGAAAAATCGAAGATACATTGCAGCCCACGACTTCGCTAATGTAAGTACGGATAAATGTATGGGCTTTAGAGGCTTTTATGCGTATACTAGATGCGACAGTGTATCCTTTCTCAGTGGAAGAGGCAAGAAAGGAGCATGGAAAACATGGATGACTTGTGAGTCGGCAACCAAAGCATTTAAGTTTACATCTTTGCCAAACGACCACATTCCATGTCACATTCAGGCACTTTTGGAAGAGTTTACTTCGAAGCTATACTCTGCAACCTCAGAACATCGAAAAGTTGATCAGCTACGGAAACAGCTCATCTGATTCCACCTAACTCAACTACACTCGCAGAACACTGTCTCCAAGCTGCATATCAAGCAGGCCAAATCTGGGGTAGATCGTTAGATATGCTTCAATGTGCTCCCCCTTCTTCAGGCTCTTGGGTTTGGACCAAACAAAATGAAATGTGGGAACCCGTTTGGTCAAAATTGACTTCCATACGGACAGTATGCAGGGAACTGGAAAAGTGTGGCTGCAAGTCTGGGCTGTAATTCCCAACGTTGTTCATGTCGACGCACAGGTTCACCTTGCACACTACAGTGCAAATGCAATGATGCATGTTCAAACAAGCGGTAATTGACTAGGTTGATAATTTTTAAAACATATACTAATATGTTACTCCCTTCCAGTGAAAATCATGAAGACCCTTCTGAATAAGATCAAGAAAAATTACTAGACTGAGAATCTCCATATTCTAAGTACTTTTCAACGACCCTGTACACTTATTTTTAATAAACTTTCAACAGAATCAAAAACAAATTTAATTTAATTGAATTTTACAAGGCAAAATTAGTCGAAACCGACATATTAAATGCTAATAAGAGCTTTTTAAAAAAATAATTCATCAATTTATGGTACGCTATTTTGAAAAATGGTCGCCATGTTGACGAAAACAAAAAAATAATATTTATATTGAATTATACGACCCACACTTAGACGGAAAAGACATCTTGAACACTAAAATCTGTTGACAAATAATAACTACCAATTTATGGTCCGCCATTTTGAAAAAAAGGCGCCATTTTGATCCTCATGGAAAAACTAAAAATTGTTATGAACTCTACGACCTAAAATTAGTCGAAAACAACATATCGAACGCTAGAATTTGTCGACAAATGGGAAATACCAACTTATGATCCTCCATTTTGAAAAAAGGCGCCATTTTGAGTCACAGCCAAAAATTGGACTAGCCCTCCGGGTCAAATCTCTTAGAATAGCCTAAAATACATCTCTGCAAAATTTTATGCTTTTAGACTAATTTGCCAAATGGTTTGGACTAACCACTAGTACTATAAAGCTTATGTTTTGTTGGTCAGGGTTTTCAAAACACTGGATAATTTTTTCCACTTCCAAGTGCTCCACTTCCAGCTGTCTGTCTGGGTAATTTAACGGTAACCAGATTAGCTTTCAAATCTGAGATTGGAGGACGTGATAGCATGTCTGCAACAACATTTGTTCGACCAGGCGTATAGTCAATTTGCAAGTCCTATGCTTGTAAAGCCAATGCCTAACTGGCAAGGTGACCTGTAGGTGATCTTAATGACATGAGCCACTTTAAAGGTTGATGATCACTTTTGATGATAACTGGCGCGCACTTTAGGTAACCACAGATCTTATGGGTCGTAGCACAGACTACTGCTAAGTCGTTGAATAATTTCTTTTCGCGGACGTTAAGAGTCGGCTGGAGTACTTAATGGGCAATAACTCGTTAACCTCCGGAGGCATCAGTCTTGAGCATTCATTAGGCTTAGACGCATCGGCTTGTTGTAAAATGGGACTGGATGTCAAAAGGGCATTTAAATATTCAAATCAGTGCTTTTGATTTAGGCCTCAAAGTCATGAAGCTCTCTTCTTTGTGAGTGAGGTCAAAGGTCTGGCTATTTCCGAAAAATTCTCGATAAAGCGTCTATACCAGGAACACGCCACACGTCTGCAGGAACGACAGTAGTTCTTTAACGTTTCGGGGAGGCGATAATTTGGAAATCGCAGTTATCTTATCTGGATTCGGGGTGATACCTTGAGGTGAGATCACATGATCAAGGTACGCAACAGAAGTACAGGAATAGCTACATTTGGATCGTTTTAGTTTGAGTTTGAACATTCGTAGACGGTCAAATACTTGCTGTAGATGCTTCTCATGGGATTCGACCGATTCTGACAAAATGATCAGATCATCAAGATATCCAAGTATGTTCAGATCCTGAAGGCCAGAACGGAATCTGTCAATCAACCTTTGGAACGTCGAGGGTGCATTTCGTAAGCCGAAGGGCATTCGTGTGTAACGATAAACGTCCCAAAAAGACAGATGAGAGTGGTTTTGTCTCTATCACTAGGCTTACCAGTTATCTGGTGATAACCGGATTTCAAATCTAAGGTTGTCATGTACTGAGTTCTCTTTGGGTATCATCGATCCTAGGCAATGAGTATCGATCTGGGCGTGTTTTGGCATTTAGCTTGCGGTGGTCCACCTTCAGCCTTATTTGTCCATTCTTCTTTGGAACCAGCATAAGGAGATTCACACTCCTCAATAATTTCCTGTGCGAGCAACTCATCAATTTGTTTTTTTAATTCTAGCCTCTTGGTTTTTGACATACAGTATGGTGGAACAGCCACTGGAATATCCTCGATTAAATCAATGGAATATTCAGCAAACGGTGTCGGTTCTGAACTTGGTTGGAGCAAATCTGCATTGGAATGGAGTAGTTTGTTCAAAGTACTCTTATCTTTTAGGCACAAGTTCTTCCCTTCATCTGCACGTAGTGGCAGCTGTTCAGACAAGGCCATATGGCTAGTGTCAATTATTGTGCATTTGGAAATGTTGATTGATGCGTCACGAGCAAACTTATCTTTTTGATCAGGAGCATCGCCATAAAACCATGAGTCATTCGGTATATCCAGCACTATTATCCATTCACAATCCTATGTCCACAGGTACAGGTAAAATTTATCACATTTCAATGCTATTTGATAGGGAAAGGTGATAAATTTACCTGTACCTGTCGACATCGGATTGTGAATAGGATATATATTGGCAGATTTTAGTAAATCAGCACCTAGAAGAGTTCTACTGTTGATATGTTAAATGTTCATGTATGGAAATGAGTGCGGTGTGATGAACTCTGCCTTCCAATGCGATTCTGACACAAAATACATAAGCATCCAATTGAGTAGTTTTACCATCTGCTAAAGTCATGTTTAACCTTCTTTGTTTATAAGGAACATGCTCGTCAAATAAAATGTCACTCAATCGGGAACCGGCGATGCTTGATTGAGCACCGGAATCAAAGTATGTGAGACCATTATGATCTTGAATAGTAGCACAGGCGAATGGGCGAGTAGAATCATCCGAGCCCATTTGACCAGATTGTACCAGCTAAGTACTGAGGAACTCTACGTTGGAGTAACTGGATGATTGGAGCACTTGGGGCAGTTACTCTTAACATAACCTGGTGTTCCACAACCGTAGCATGACAGGGTATAGATTGATGAATATTTATTGGTGGACTCGTATCATTTGGAGTGCTTGACTCATTACTGCCGGCTTTGCCTTGTTCAGAATGTATACGAGCCAGTTTACGACAATTTTCTTGAGGGTGCCTAAAATTCTTATGTCGGATATGGCATTTGTATGCCATTTATCTCTCTCTAACTGCGTCCAAAGATAGCTATATAGTGGGGGATACCTTTCTCTCTCTAGTTCATTGCTGTTAGGTTTGGTATATTCCTAACCTCAAATATAATATTTTTTAGACAAGGAGGATTTAGAGCCCTGCCACCATGTAGCTGCAGAATCTTCCGACAACATTGACAGGCCTTTCAGAGCATACTGATCTAGAATCCTTATAGACCACAATAGCATCAATGAATGCTTCAACATCTCTTTCCGGGCTTCCATCAAAGCGGGACTTACATCCAGAAAAATTGTCTGCACACTTAGACTTGGTCGTTGAATAGGCTGACTTACATGAACATTCTGTTTTCTAGTTAGTAAAGATTGCAGCATCTCTGACGTCATAACAATTTGTTGAACAATAGGGGTTTCATCGTCATTATCAGTCATCTTGGCTAATTCTGAATTATTTGGTACAATTTTTCCACTACGTAAAATCATACAGCAGGACTCGTATGAAGCAGGACACGTACCTATAATTTTACTTCATGATGTCAAATCTCATGCGAAACTGGATTGGCTCACCGGCAAAACTTACATAATCATGAAGAAACACTTTAAAAAACGAGGTCGTGGACTAACTTCTAGTAATCTCTTGAGTGTAATGATATGATTATATGCTTGTCGAATGTACAACAACTGATCTAGGGATGTTCCAACTTCAAAAACAGTAATGCAGTAACATAAAAAACCAGATATTTAACACAAAACAGCTTTCTGTCATTTTGGAAAATGGAATTCTGGGTCCAAATAACTTATACAAAATGCTACAGACATCAAACAGCACTTTGAAAATTAAATTGATGAGTAAGGAAGGCTTTGAAAACTCTTTTTTTTTTTTTTTAATGCAGATACAGTTGAATTTTCTATTATAGTTATACATTCGGTGGACTATACAGGGTGTACCGAAACGGTAAGAGCTACAAGGTCGGTTAAATTAGAAAAAAGTTGCCTTTTTTCATGCCCATTTAGGACTCGTTTACAGTGTTGCCAAATTCTTTTTAGTTTATGAAATACAAGGTGATTTCTAAGAAACGCCCAAAACTATTTCATCAATTATTTTGAAAACTATTGATTTTCGAGAGACAATTTAAATTTGAAAGTTTGTTACATGGAGTGTGATGAGATTGCCTATTTGTTGCGGGAGCGATTATTGCAAAAGGGGGAGAAAGAAGAAAAGAAGAAAGAGTTGAAGAAGGGAAAGGGGTGAAAGAATGGAGGGGATGATAAAACTCCTGAAGGTGGCCGAAAGGAAACCAACTTGTAGGGCAGCTCCGACTAGCCAGATTAAAGGTAGAGTGGTCTGGGTCAAAACTAAAAGCGCCACCTGTTTTCAGCCCTAAAGTAAATTGGTTCCTGAATGCGAAAAATAATAAAACAGGAAACAGCCTAGAACATACAAAGTAATTAAATCAACACAGGAAAGCAAGGAGAACAAAAAGCAGGGCATCAATAAGTGAAATCACCTATTAGCATGCGAGGACTCGTCGATTCGCAAATGCAAAGTCAGCTGTAAAAGGGACAAGAAATGAAAATAATCGAAATCAAATATTCTCTGATATGGTTTATATACTTTCTTCCAAAAATGCAAAGT